TACGCCTCAATTGGGGAGACCACCGTGTGGTGTAGAGTTTGGAGTGGTGGTGCTCTTCCACAGGGGATGTTGGCACAATTGTGCTCCTTCACTGGGGATGATATGAAGGGGTGGCATGATAAGGGCAAAAAGGGCGAGGTGTCATGCAGCAACCCATGGGGATATATACGAACGGAAAGCAATTTATAGTTGTGCAAACGAACTATATGTCGCGTAGTTCAACGTCATGCTTCAGAGACGTGGGATCATGACATTTTTACCTGTGATGACCCATAAGATAGGATCAACACGTCCATCTTTTGAGCGTGAGTGCCCCGAAGGGTTTTCACCACACTCGTTTTATTTCAACACTTTTGCCCGTAGCGCCCTTGCAGGTTTTCACTACGGCCGTCTTTTTTTTTTTTTTCTTTTTGACATATTTTGCCCATGGTGGCTTTTGGGTGCACACCACGTCCGTCATTTGAGAGAGTGCCCCAAAGGGTTTTCACCAACCTCCATTTATTTTGACACTTGCCCATAGCGCCCTTGCAGGTTTTCACTACGGTTGTCTTTTTCTTTTTCTTTTCTTTTTGACATATTTTGCCCATGGTGGTCTTTGGGGTGCACATCATGTCCATCATTTCTTTTCTCTTTCTTTTCCATTTTTTGCGACATTTTTACCCACGACGCCCTTACGGGTTTTCGCCATGTCCATTTGTTTTTGGGAAGCGTGTTTAAGGTCATGCCACCGGGACCTAAGCTATAGTATAGGGTCGTATAGCTTGAACCAGTGCTGTCCAGTTTAAGGTCTTGCGGCTTGGACCATTAGGCTCATGACTCATCATGCATAGAATCAGGCCCCAAGTTTAACTGCCCGTTGTTTATGAACCTTTGGATGATGTCTTTAGTAGCAAGCCAATCTTTGGTCATATGACCAAGCATTCTGTGATATTGACAATAATTGGGCTCATCGTTTCTTCCAACTTCCTCCGCCCTTTTTGGCACGGGTAGCTCGATCATTCCCTCGGAGATGAGAGCTTCAAGTAACTCGAGGAACATGCCTTCATCAAAGGAATAACTCTTGTGCTAGTTTTGACATGAAGAGTACATTATGTCTGGCATGGTGAAGGGCTCAAATATTTTTTCATGGTGTTTAAGCAAGCCTTCCATTCGCACTGCTTTGTCAATCATTTTGGCAAACGTGGAGGGGGATGTTGCGTTGACATGCATTGACAAATCTTGGTGCATTTTTTTACACAGTATTCCACTTCTTGAAGCTCGCCCACCGGAGTGGCCAAATTGATGGCCAAATTGTCCCATCTTCTGATGTACTTGATCATTAGCTCATGTGGCTCTTGCTTTACATCAAGAACATAAAGCTGCATGCTCCTTTCTATATCATAGAAGTGTTTGACGAATTCTTCTTCCATTTGTTCCCATGATGAAATTGAACTGGGTGCTAGCCGAGAGTACCATTTGAAAGCGGATCCTATAATGTTTCCCACAATTGTTGGACTAGTAGATGTTCATAAATTGCTGCATCGCCACAAGCAAAAACAAAGTCGGCTATATGCTGTTGTGACGAGCGGTACCATCATATTTAGCGAAATCGGGCCCTTTGATAGCTTGGAGGGAATGGAGTTTAATCAACATAAGCCAGGTATGGTTTTTGGTAGTGACTTGACTGTTCCATGCCTGAAACACTATATTTCACCAGTGCTTGTGCCACCATGTTCTTCACTAACTCCTCAACCTGAGTCATGGGAGGATAAACTGGGAATGAGAGAGGTGTGGGTGGGAGCAGCTCTTCTTTTGATGTCATCGTTTCAATGGACTGACATGGTGGTTGGTAGGGTAAAGAAAGTTTGGCGTGCCGAGGGTGTATGCTCGACCTCATAGGACACCAACACTTCTTGGCACATGGTTTCCATCATTTCATCTTTTGACCTCATTTTGGCTTGCAATTGCCTTAATGTGGCCTTAAGCGGCATAATCTCGTCTCTATAGGATTCTGATGTTTTATTGATCACCATGGAATTAACAACGGCCAATCTTGGAGGCTCTTCTTCCCCTGAAAGATCAAGCTGCTCATCATTAGGGAGCAATATAATGGAGGCTTTGGGACTGATTGCCACGAAAACTTCTTCATTCAAGGTGATACACTCCAACGGAGTTTGCTCACCAAATCCCTCTTGTTCGATGAGGTTTTCGATCATGGGTTCAACTGTTGTCATCTCAACAGCATCATTGATGATAGTTATCGGGTTTTCCATCGGGCCCACTTCATTTTTCAAGGCATGGATATCTTCGTTATCGAATGAGAATGTGAAACTCTCATAGGACGGCGAAGGCACATCATCATCATCATCAAGAGAACATCTAAAGCTTTCGCGACAGAGAGAACGAGCCATTGATTTCATAAGGAATCATGAGGATGTGAAACTCTCATTAAATATGTTAACTATCGTATGGTGAAAAATATATTATATAAATTTATTCATTAAATACTTAAACATCACACCTAGTTCGCACATACCAAAAAAACCACGATTTTTGTTTTCTCTTTACAATGATTTACCTATGATATGGTGACGATGGTCACTCTATAACTAAGGTTAAAGTTTTATAAATTTCTTTAAATGAAAAGAGGCTCGTAGAAATTTGGGTTCACATCCCTGTGTTTACGGTTTAGAAAGAGAGGGAAGAAGGAAGAGAAGAAAATAGGGCTGGGCTCATAGCCATTAGGGTTTATAGAGAGAGAAGAAAGAAGAAGGAAGAGGTCATTGGCTTCACAAACTGTAATGGAAGAGGCCCTAACTGTTTTTTAGAGAGAGAAATGGAAGATGGGATGCTGATTTGGGATAGTTTGAAGAGTTTTTCTATTTTTAGAAAGAGAAAAGGAAGATGGGATTCTGATTTGGGATAGTTTGAAGATAGTTTTTCTCTCTGATTTGGGATGTTGTTTGACAGAAAGCACTAACCATACCAATTTGTGAAGAGGCCCTAACTGATTTTTAGAGAGAGAAAAGGAAGAGGGTTTTTCATTTTCTTGGGGAACAGCAAGCAGAGCTGAAGGATTAAGTTTGGGGAACTAATTATATATGTGCAATTCCTTGCTTCTGTAAGTTTACAGTTGGCACTATATTGTTTATCTTTGTTATCACATAATCAAAAACAAAATATTGATTACTTGGTTCTGTAGTCACACTCTCTGCTTCTCATTCATCAGTAAAAGACTGTTTGAGCTCTAATTTGCGTTTATATGTTTTGAGCTCTAATTTGTGCCATAGACAGTATTTTCATAAAAACGAGTATCACAAATAATCACAGAAATCTGCATGTATATGATTTTCTTTACACAATGATTTACTTTACAAAATGATTAGCTATAAACAGTATTTCATTTGCACAATGATTTTCCAAAATAACAACTAAAATCTGCATCTACTTGTTTAAGCTTTTAAAAAACGGGAAAAAAAAACTCATACCTTCAATATGCAACTGTGGCTTTGAAGAACACAGTGGGGATAAAAGTTTCTATTTTAGTTTTTTTTTTTAAATCATATTTTTTTTCAAAAGCAAAGTAGCAATGGCTGCAATACACAAAACAAGAGAGAAAAAAATTCTTTCCAAAAAAAATATAGGTAAAAAAGACCCGATTTTTTTGCCTGATTTAGTATTATGAAAAAAACACGGTTTAAACGTTTTTATAAAAACTATGTGATTTTTTGCCGACCTTTTAAAAAAGTCACCATTTAAAACTATTTCCATAAAAACGCTGAATTTTTAAAAAAATCGCCAATTAAACTGCAATTTGCTAACTATGATCATGACACCTTTGGGGCATTGCGAAACCACTTTAGTGAGGTCGCCCATAGAGGGAATGCAAATCATCCCATTCACTGTTAGGAGGTGGTTTTCCTCGAATGAAATTGATGAGCTCTCATCAGAGGATGGGGTGATGGTGAGGGAAGCCGCATCATCAGCATCGGGCTCCTCACCATCAAATGAGGATATGCAACTCTCATAAGATGAAGAGGTCACATCATCATCATTAAGAGAACATATGGGGCTTTCGAGGCAAGGGGAGAGCATGCAATCGACCTCATAGGGGATCATGTCCTCTTTAGGGCATGGAGACGTCAATTTAGTGAGGTTGCTAACAGAGGGGGCAACTTCTGCCACTATTAAGGAGTGGTTTCCCTCAAATGAGAGTCACAAGCTCTCATTAGAGGATGGAGTGATTGGGCGGATGAAGGTGAGGGAGGTCGCATCATCTGAATTGACCAAAGAAGACTCCGGTTCATCGGATCTCCGAGATTCTAAGATGAATCCAAGTAAAAGAGTAGTGGGGATGAATGGTGGCAGAGTCCCTTCCTTGTTCATGAGGTTTATCTTGACAATGAGGCTTTCAGCCCTTTGAAGCAGTTTAGTAGTACTGATTCACTCTTTGGTTTCGGTCTAAGGAGTTGGGATGTCGATGAAGTCGGTCTGGCAATGACCGGTTTCACTGTGGACTGAGATGGTGGGTCACTCTCATGCCATATGGCAATGAAACCGGTCTCTTCATAGCTCAGAACCTGCATCATCTGGCGGATACTTTGCTTAAGCGAGCATATGATGGCCTCTTTAGAGGGGGCCACATTACTCTTTTCTGCATGCTCCATGCCTTTCTCAGGCTCAATTTTTGCCTTTTCTGAGACTTGAGAGCTACCCTCACATAGCAAACCCCTCAGAGAAAATCGTTCGTCGCTCGGGACTGACTGGCTTAGTCGGACCCTTACTCTGGATTTGGTTCTTTACCGCATTTGTGTGTTCTACTTCCACCTTACTTGAGACTTGGGGGCTGCCCCGAGTTGATGTTTTCTGACTCAACACGACTTCTTTGGTTTAGTTCAATTCTCTAACTTCCACTATTAGTATGCAGTAAAATTTTATGTTACCATGCATGCAGTATATGCCCTTTTAGGCTTCTGCATAAAAAAAGAAATCAGAGAATACAGTGCATGCAGTTCAGTTACCTGCAACAGGACATCACAACATTGAGTAATTCTTCAAGCTGCTGCTCCATCTGTCCTAGCTGAAGGAAAATTATAACATATTACGATCAAATAACTGCATAATATAGAAACTTCTCAAGAATTAGCTCTTTAAGCTAAGCTAGCCATATACATCTGGCCTCACACTAACACAAGGAAAGTTTAGCAGCCGTGTTAAATATCTAATTTCAAAACAAGAATAAACTCAAGAAACTCGAGAGTCGAAAAATTGACAGAAAAGCAATAATGACCTTTGACAACAAGGCACTGGAGTGACTCTTAACATTTTCATCAGACTTTACACCAGAAATTTCAACAGGCCCTTGCTTTTCTGGATTTTCCTGCATAGTATTTGAAACCATTAATCAATAGTCAGTTTGTGAGAACATTTGGGATTCAATTATACACGTAGACAGCTCTACAGTCCTAACATATCAGGGTCAGTCGATCAGAAATGGAGAACTATGCCAAATTTAGCTATCGATCAAAAGAGACGAGCATTACCAATAAGTTCAAAAGACTTTTAAAGACAGGACCATGCAGTAAACCATGAGTCCAATGCCCAGATTGAATATGAGCCGATTTGAAGGTCACGACTGCATCTCGTATTTAAATTTTATTAGTTTTTATACAAAACCAAATTATATGAAATTTGGGGCATCCACTCTTCTCATCAAAGTGCACCTAATAAAAAATATTAAAACAATAATTTGTAAAAAATAAATTAACCATAATACCCCTAAAAATTGGGCATGGCATCCACTCTTCTCAGCAAGACGCACCTAATAAAAATATTAAAAAAATAATTCGCAAAAAATAAATTCACCAAAATACCCTAGAAAGTTTTAAAGGTATTTTGGTCAATTTAATTTTTAAGAATTATTTTTCTAATATTTTTATTAGATTTACCTAATTCTTAGGAATAGAGGCTCAAAATTTCAAAGTATTTAGGAATAAACGCTCAAAATAGTTATAAAGGAGGTTTCTAAGAATCTACTCTTTTCACCAGGCTTATTTATAGCGAGTGGTACAGGTTCAGGTGAAAAAGTTATTTCTTGGGCTCGTTTGGATTGTTTTGGGTTTATTGGTGATGATGAGGATGCTAAGGTTTTATTTGGGACTGGAATAATTTCCATAGGCCCTTTCTTTGAGAGACTCCTGTTGGCCTCCTTGCAAAAATTCATGGGTCAAAACATCAAGAAGGTAATTGGTGGTTCCTTTAATATGTTCAATATCAAATTCGAAAGATGAGAGTATACCTTGCCATCGTGCAAAGATTTGTTTTGAGATGAGATTTTTTACATCTTTTTGGAGTATGTCTTTAGCAGCCTTGCAATCAGTACGTATTCAAAAAAATTATTGAGGAGATCACTCTAAAACTTTGTCACACAATGAACAACAGCTAGGATCTCTTTTTTAACAGTAGAATAGTTTTGTTGAGTTAAATTCCAAGTTTTGGAGTAAAGCGTATTAATTGCTCTTTATTCTCTATTCTTTGTTTTAATATTCCTCCTTGCCCTATTTCCGAAGCATCACATTCAATAATTTTGAAAGCAGTTGGATCAGAGAGTGTAAGACAGGGTAAAGATTTTGCTTTTATTTTTATTTTTTAGACAGCTGAAGTATGTAAATCCGTCCATTCCGGAGGGCTTTTCTTTAATCTTTGGAACAAGGGCTTAACGTCAATTGTCAAATCTTTATAAAAACTATATAATTAAGACGGCCAAGAAACCTTTGAAGCTCAGTTTTATTGGTAATAATATCAGGGAATTTATTGGCAAAGTCAATGGCTCTATATATAGGGATAATCCGTCCTTGAAAAATATTGTGTCCCAAAGACCTGATTTTTGTTTGGCAGAGGCTAATCTTTTTAGCAGAAACTACTAAGCCAGCTACTTTAATTGCTTTAATAAAAGTATTTAAATGTTTAATATGTTGCTCTAGATTTTGTGAGAAAACTAGAACATCATCAATATATACAATCAGATATTTTGTATAAGGATTAAATATATCATTCATAATATTTTGAAATTCTGAAGGGGCATTTTTTAAACCGAAAGGCATTACATTCCACTCATATTGTCCGAAGGGAACATTAAAAGCGGTTTTATAATGATCTTTCTCTGCTCTTTGTATCAGCCAGTATCCTGATTTTAAATCAAATTTTGAAAAGATACAGGTATTAACAAGTCTATCTAATAGATCCCTTTTATTAAGAATTGGATATCTTATCCATTTTAAAGCTTTATTGAGGGGCTTATAATTGATAACTAGTCTGGGTGCACCTCTTTCTATTTCAGAAGCATTTTCAACATAAAATGCTAAACAGCTCCAAGGAGAAGAGCTTTTTCGAATAAGCTTTTTTTTAAGTAACTCAACAATCTCTTTTTTACAAATTTTCAGAAGCCTAGGGTTCATCTGAATGGGCCTAGCCTTAGTAGGAATCTTTTCTTCATGGAAATTAGCTTCATAAGGCAAACTAACAATATGCCTATGCCTATTCCAGAAAGCATTTGGGAGATCAGCACAAATTTCCTTTTCTATATTATTTTTAATATTTTCTATTATTTTTTTTTTTTTCAAGAAGCAAAAGTTTTGTTTCTATTGTTTTATACTTTATTTCTTCTTTAAGGTAATATAAAAAAATTTCCTTATTCGAGATTTTTTCCTTTATATTATTTATTTCCCTTAATTTTGGTTTTTCAGTAAAACTAAACTTTACCTCATGTCCTTCGATATTGGCTCTAATTCCTATACTATCAATTGTTATAAGATAAAGCATATTTAAAAAAGGAGTTCCTGATATTACAGACTGTCTTAAGCCTTTAACCATGATAAAAGGAAACTCGAAGCATTTACCATTATTACAAACTGCAGTATTAGAAAGTTTATAATTAATTTTCATTTTGCTGCCATCAGCTGTATTTAGGACTTGGGTTGTTTTACTAAAATATTTAGTTGGGACAAGTCCTTCATTTATACAATTTAAATCTGCCCTTGAGTCAATTAGCGCAGTGGTTTTAAAACTGTATTCTTTATGGACAATTATTTCTATTATGGTAAACAATGTTTGGGTAATTACTTTATCAAGGAGACTAACATAATTACAATCCTGGATTGTATTCATGTTAGAAGATTCTAGCTTAATGATGCTCTTAGAAAGAGCGGTTTCTTCCTCAAGGGTTAGAGGATTTTTATATTCTTGTATAAGGTTACTAAATTCTATTTCATCATTATCAGGTTCATTAATAGGGTTGTCAAGTAAAGGATCAGAGGCCATTTCTATCATTTGGACTCTATTTTTAAAGCTTATTAGCTCATTTCTATACTTTCTTCAACAGCTTTTCTATATATATATATATATATATGGGTGCAGTTTGTATAAAGCCTAAGCTCTAAGCAATCAAATTAGAGCCTGCCTTCAAATAGTGTAGAAAAATATGGTTTTAATATTGAAAATCTTTGTGAAAGCCTTAAAATATATTTTCATCTTTATTTATAAAGTTTAAAGCTTAAAAAATAGTGTAAATCAACATATCTATGAAAACTTGAAAATTTTGAAAATCGACGGTCCAAAAATGCATTACAAAATCCACTATTTCGAAACGTGAAATCCATTTTTTTCTCATATCCATGCATCTTGAAGTCGAGATGACCAATTTGAGGATATCTGAGTATCAAAATAACCTCTTCTAATGAAAATTTTAAGGTAAGCTCGAATTTGATTGTTTAGAGCCTCGGCTCTATATAAACTTTTTCCTATATATATATATATATAGGAAGATACTACAAAACCCCTATAAGCGAAAATGAACAGTGATTGCACCTACCCTCATCACCGTTCAAAGTTCATCGCACGGTCAAGATTGTCCAGTAGTGTTTCAATTTTCTTTTTTTTTCTACAAATCCAAACTACTTGAAATTTGGAGCGTGTGTACACTAAGAGGTACACTAGCTTCAAATTTTAGATCATTCCGATTAGTTAAAAAAAATTTAAAATTGAAACACTACAGGACAACTATGACCGTGTGATGAAGTTTGGATGGTGATGAGAGTAGTCGAAATCACTGTTCATTTTTGCCTATAGGCCTTTTGTAGTATCTTCCTATATATATATATATATATATGGAAAAAGCTGGGATTAGCCCACTAGCTCATACGAACATATGACCGC